GGACGCAGAGCGTGCAGCACAGTGACCAGGTCTTGCGCAAACTGGTAGGAGGCAATGTGGGTTGTGCTTGATATGGAGAACGTGCGTACATGCTTGGCAAGTGCGGTCGGTCGGCCAAAGTAAGCGATAGCTTTCCGGAAGGCGGCCAGTTGGGTTGCGCTCGTCAAGTGTACAAGGGTATACAGATGCCGGATAGCGATAGATTCAAAGTATTTGTTGACTGTGCAAAGCGCTCGCAGAGTATCCCGAGTGGCTACGGAATAAATCCGGTTGTCTGCATCAAGATCGGCAGCGACTTGTTCGATTATCATGGCCTGTATCTCGAGCGGAAGGGCTGAGGACTGTCAGTATATATTCCACCATGGCAAAAAAAACTTACGTGTCGCCTCGGGTATACATTCTGTCTTGATATACCGGGACGATACTATGGGTGGGCCATCACCATTCATCTGGGGGACCATCTTAGTGGCCTCGAGAGCAGAGCGGGACAGCCTGTAGCCAAACGTAACCATGGGTGCTGGTGGAGTTGACCCCCTAAGCGATGGGCGCCAGAAGCCCACCAGCGCTATTTCAAATTCCTGCGCCTCCACCCACCCTTATCGAGCGCCACCACAACCAAGATGTCCCCGACAAAGCAAACAACAATCATCCCTCATTCCCAAGAACCACTAGTTACTTATGAATACCCTTCGACTGCTGAGCTTGACAATATCGTAGCTAGATCTGTCGCCGCACAAAAGCTATGGAAGAATATCTCGGTTCAGGAGAGGGTCAAGATCGGGCAAAAGTTTACGGCAAGTGATTGAAACCGCGAACACGCCCGTAATTAATAAGTGTCATCAGGAAGAGTTTAAGAAGATGGATAACGAGATTCCTCTTGAACTCACTCAACAAATGGGGCGGTGAGTTCCATGTTCTGGGGTTGTAGGCAAGCTTGACCCATTTTCTGTTCCTAACCCAGACCGGTGTCACAAAACGCGGGAGAGATCCGTGGCACTCTAGAACGCGCAAACTACATGTTATCGATTGCAGAGAAAGCCCTCGCCCCTGTAGGATTGGAGGATACCGATAAGCCCGGGTTCAAGCGATATATCAAACGTGAACCGTTGGGCGTGGTGTTTGTAATTGCCCCATGGAAGTGAGTCATAATTATATTATAGAACGCAACTCATTTACAACCACGTATAGCTTTCCTTTCCTTACATCGATCAACTCGGTGCTTCCTGCAATCATGGCAGGTACCTGCCTTATATCACGCGGTATATGCGCAACTCGCTAATCATTCTCAATCAGGCAACTCGGTTATCTTGAAGCCTTCCCCACAAACCCCGGTCGGTTGATCTGATATCAAGTATCGGGAGATCTACTCAACGCCCCATATCTATAAAGCTCACCGCACACCGCCTTCAAAGTGCCTTCGAAAAAGCTGGGCTCCCGGCTGACGTATTCATCGTAACTCATCTCTCGCCCGAGCTTACCGCTCATCTTGTGGAGCACCCTCAAGTCAACTTTGTAAGCTTTACGGGGAGCGTGGTCAACGGAAGGGTTTGTATATGGACTCCACCCGCGATGATTTATCATTGACTCGAGTGTGGCTAGGCGGTAGCTCAGCATGCGGTGAAAACTGGGTTCAAAGGTGTAGCATTGGAGGTGAGTCATTTGATTGAACCTGCGGCTGGCGACGTTTAACTGCGCCTCCAGCTTGGGGGGAAGGACCCTGCGTACGTCCGCAGTGATGCCGACATCGATTACACCGCCGCTGAGCTCGTAGATGGTATGGCCGGGCAAAAAGACTTGGCGCATACACTAACAACTGTCGAATAGGCGCCTTCTTCAACTCGGGGCAGAGCTGCTGCGCAGTCGAAGTTTGTGATCTGTCATACCAAAATAATCCACGTCTAACTTCTAGTGGCCGCAGCGCATTTATGTCCATGACTCCATTCATGACAAGTTTGTGTCAGCATACGTTGACATTGTCAAGGTCTCAGTTCGATGCTTTTTCCGCAGTTCATTTTTAACGGGCCCCTTTTAGAGATACAAACTAGGAGACCCGACTGAGCCCGGTACAAATCTCGGCCCGGTTGTTTCTCTTGCGAGTGCGGAACGGATTAGGAAGCAAGTTGATGCGGCCGGTAGGTTGTTCTTCGTCGGCTTCATGTCCTCGGGTTGAGTGTCCGAAACAGTCAAAGCGGGCGCAACGCCACTCATACCTGAAGATTTGTTTCCCGCAGCGAAACCGTGAGCACACAAATACTGGAATCAAATATAACTCTAATCTGATCGTTTCTTCCAGGGGCACGACGTATGTCGCCCCTCAGGTTCTGGTCAACGTCGATCACAGTACGTGTCGATCAGCTGGCGAAAAGCACGGCTTACGCCCTTTTTAGCCATGGATGTCATGAAGGAAGAAACCTTTGGACCAGTAGTAGGGATCATGCGTGTCCCATCAGACAACGCGGCGCTTGAGCTTATGAATGACTCCCCCTATGGACTGACCGCATCCATCTGGACCACGACCAGGCCCGAGTCGCAAGAGGCATTCTTGCGATTCGTCGACGAGCTGGAGACAGGTACTGTCTTTTTGAATCGGTGTGACTATCTGGACCCCGCTCTAGCCTGGACAGGGGTCAAGGACAGCGGTCGTGGCGTCAGCTTGAGCAAGTTCGGTAAGTAGCACGTGACCTAGGGGGACGTGGCGCTGATTGGCCGACTGCGAGCAGGATACGATCAGCTGACCCGTGCTAAATCTGTACACATGAAGATCGTCACTGCATGACGGAAATATTGAACAGACGTTGCCCGACCTGTTTTGTGTTTGGCTGCGGCTCGTGCCTCCGCCTCCGCAGGCTCCATCCTGTGCGAACCGGGCTTCCTTCGGTCCTACCACCGGCCTCGCATTGCCACCATCACCGTCTCCAACCATGATTTGTGTCTAAACTCACGCCGAAATAATCGGCATGTCAAAGTGCATCGCCCAACGCGTCCTATGTAAGCAATCTAGGGGTGGCCTTGTGGACAAGCGCCCGACTCAGATTAAGGAATGCTGTGCCGAGACACCCGTTCAATCGTTGTCACCAAGGAGAAGCATCCGAGTTGGACAGGGACAGGTGAACTTTGCCCGAGCAGTGCAGCCCTATTCCCGATATATAAGGCTGTTGTGTCTCGTAACGTCTTCCATAACCAACCTCCCCTCTGCCCCACTCCTGCACCATGCATCCAGCAAGAGTCTTCCTGGCTTGGATTCTGTTGGCTTCTACAGCCGCGGCTCTCTCAACTCCCGAGCGATGGCGATTTGATATCGAGGCACGCGATGCCTTGGTGAGTGCCACGTACGAGAAGATTGTCGGCACCGATGACTGACTTCTTGTGTGAAGGACAAGCGCCAGGATCCTCCGACTAGTCCTGCTGCGACTACGGTTCTGGCTAGCCCCACCGATCCCGCGGCGACAACCAGTCCCGCTGCCACCGGCCCTCTTTTACCCACAAGCACAGATGCCGCGTCAACTCCTGAGCCCACGCCTTCACTTACCTCAGACACTGCGACTCCGACATCTTCTCCCCTAGATACTACATCCCAGGTGGCTAGCTCTCCATCACCAACCCTAGCTCAGACGGGATCGAGCTCGTCTGTAGGATTGCTATTCACCCAAACGACGCCGAGCTCCAGGCCGGTCGTTACCGTCACCGTGGCACCAACCTCGGACGCCAACGACTCTAATGTTCCGTTCGTCGATTCCAAGTACCACCAACTGATCATCGCGCTCGCTTGCATTTCTGGCGCGCTTCTCCTCGCACTCATCGCCACCGCAGTCGTCGCGTTCCGTGCTCGCGCCGATAACGATCTGTTGCACGACCGGCTATCTCGATACGAACAGGGCTTTGACCTCCCTCAACGGGGCAAGAGGGATTCTGCGAGTAGTCTCGGTGGTTACGGGCGTCTCTCGTTGAACGATCCCGATGACATGCGG